CTATCTATCACAACTTGATGGAAATTGCTGAAGAGAAGTGTGCTTGTTTGTTAAAGCAATCGTACTGGAAAATAGCTTCCGTGTATGATTTCGTCATGCGTTAACTGAATTTTTCTTCTCCAGCTTCTAGCTTAATTTTTTTTAATTACTCCTTATTATATCTGCCAATCTGCATCTTGACATTTTGGCTTGGGGTAAAGTTATCTATTCTTACGTAAACTTACAGGTAGCTTATTACTTCCACTGTACTTACGAACTTAACGAATGCAGATCATCGATCTCTTTGAAGTTTTCGAATTCTTGTATTAGTCCAAAACTTAGCCTTTTTTTCCATAAGGTTTTCAGCCCCTTTTTGCAGATTGAAAAACTTTACTTAGCAAATTATTTCATCATTGTCTCTCATAATCAGTTCAACAGATAACAACAAAAGTCTTTGTTAAGTTCTTACTTAGTTAAAATGCATTGTATTTTGTCGTTTGAGTAGTTCAATAGTTCCAGAAGTACAGCTGCGTGCATCCAGCAGCAGGAGCGAGACTACCATAAGGCCTTGCGAACAGTAAATAATTGATTATTTTAACTGGAGGCCAATTCGACCGCAGAGGTGACTTAGCGAGATTAAAAACACACTAGGCTACTATCCTTTGATGGCGAGGGTGGCCTGCACGCAAGCAACCGCGTTTATCTATTACTCCTTGCTCAATAGAATGGAAAATACGTAAAATACGAATGTATTTATGTACACATAACACTTAGTGAAAAAAAGAAAGACAAAACAAATAAATATATGTTCAAAATCATAAAACCGAATATGAATTAAATGCTAATGATTTTTAGTTCTAATACAAGCTTTCCTATTTCTTGTTTTTGTCCTTTTTTATTTTTTCAGTTTGTTGTTTTGCTTTTTTTTCTGTGTTGCTTTATTTCTTTCTCGCAATATAATTCCACACTTTCTCAAAGAATGATAAGCCTGGCCGAGTGACAACATTTTGTTAACCATGGCAGTGACTACTAGCGAAGTTAAGTTGGGAAGTTCATCATTAATACCAATATGTTTCCTAGATGGACTTTCCATTATTATGATTTTCTTGACCTGCCAATTGGTCTTCCATAATTGGATAATTAGTGCGCAGAAAATGCCTTGTTTTCGAAGTCAAAGAGCACATATAATGAAACCCAGTGTTGCCTACTCCATGCAATGAATAGCAGCGCGTGGCTCGAGAGCCTGTGTCTTGGAACCATTATTGTTTAGAAAGCATAAACAGGCCAACAAAGTGAGAGTTACCCCTTACATAATGCTGAGGCGTTTGGGAAAGCACGAAGGACACGAAGACGATTGTCGCGAAATTAATTGAGACAGTTGAATAACTTGAAAAACATTTAAAGGTTAAAGTAGAAAAAATTCATGCACGGAGCATGTCCACGAAAATCTCATCTTATGATGTATCTTTATAAAAAGTATTTTTGCAAGTATCTGTTTGAAGAGAAATTATGCATGTATCTATATAAAGAGAAATTATGCAAGTATCTTTTTATTAGGAATAATGCAAGTCAATGTTGCGAAATAAGGATGCCACAAAATCCTCTTCCTCTTTCCTGTTTATCAAGAATAAATCTATGTTACGATTAGCAGATTGACTGACTGACTGACCGACAGACCAATTGACTGAACGACTGACTGAATGACGGACTGACTGACTGACTGATTGACAGGCTGCCTGATCGACTGACTGACTGACCAACCGACAGATTGATTGACTGACTGACTGTCTATCACCCATAAACACTGACCCACTGATCGACTGAGTGACTGACTGACAGACTGACCGACTTGCTCGTTTGGCGTTGTTGATTAATTGATTGATGGATTTATTAACTCATTTCATTGGCAGATAACAATAATGGCGACTTGGTTTAAGTTATTGTTGGCTCTTTTCATTGGTCTCGTTGCTTTTAAATTCCGAGTGACTTCAGCCAAATCAAGCTCATCCGAATCCGATGATAATGATGATAATGAAAAGAAAAACCTAACCATTGCCTGGATTTACAAGCCTCCCGACGTTGGAGGACCCGATAACAGTTCCTTGGACAATCAAGCTCATGGAATAGTACGAGATGCCATTTTAAGATACGTATGATGGGATTGCAGCGCCGATCGCTATGAAATAACGAACCTCAGAGCTGAAAGTGAATCTGGCATGATACAAATGCTGAAGCAAAACAAAGTCCATATAGCAATTCCTATATTCGAACAACAAAAAAGTCAAAAGTACTCTGAATTTATCTTTTTCAAATTACTGGAATATCCTGGTACGGGATACATAGCTTTGGCCGACGATGAAAACGACGCTCTTGATGTCGTTTTCGATTCTGTATCGAAGTCTTGGCCATTGCTTGCTGTCACCATGACCATGATCTTCACGGCCATTGCTGGAATCATCATGTGGGCACTGTTAAGATTAAGTTCATAAGTACAGCTGATAAATTTGAATGCATGGTTGCAAAATTAAAATGCTCGCACATATCCATTTATCCTTACAGGTCAGTCTCTTTTAAGAAATTTCAAGGGTTTTTTGAACCGACAAAATGAAAGCAGATGCTGCCGACAAGGTGCTTTAAGTTGATACCAAACCCGTATTTTAAGCAGCTGTGATCTCACCCAATATATCTCTTTAAGCTGGTCAACAGAACGGAATGTAATCTTGCCTACCCCTCCCCCCCCCCCCCCCCCCACCCATTAAAAGTCAGATTGTGTAAAACGGTTATTTGCAATTCTCAAAGTTAAGAAATAATAGGAATGACATTTTTATGATTACAAGGGGATGAGACCGGGAACAAGAGAAAAAAATTCATATGTAATTTTTTTGTTCTACCAGGATACGTACTGGAATGGCGAAGAATTTCCACGTTCATTCATCAGAGGCTCATGGGGTGGATTTTGGTGGTCCTTTATTTCTATGACCACTGTAGGGTAAGCTGACCACTGTAGGGTAAGCTGACCACTGTAGGGTAAGCTGACCACTGTAGGGTGAGCTGTTAAGTGGTCAGAATGTGGTAATTTCTTTCTCGTCCACGAGTCGTCCATGTGTCTTATGCTCTTTCGTGATTAAGCCCCATAGGTTTGTTTCCCAGGACAGCGTCCTGCGAGTGCAGATAAAATCATCACCAATACCTCTTTCATTTCGTACCTTTTTTATTGGCAAGGTATGGAGACAAGGCACCCAAGTCGGCTATGGCTCGTATTTTCTCTGTCGTCTGGATCTTATTTGGCCTCATAGCTATGGCAATTTTCATGGCATATGTCACTACTGCATTGACAGCTCTCTCTCTGCAACTTGAACCAACCAGCCTTCGTGGTGTTCAAGTTACTTTGAAAAAATATCACTCAATGAGAGTTAACTCTCTCGTTTTTTTAATTACCAATAATAATACTGGTCAAAATATTCCCGTACATTTGTCAAACGTTTGTTCTTTTAATTATAAAGGTTGATATCCCATCTTTCTTAAAGTAACCGGAGTTGCTTACGGTACTAGTGCATGCCATTTAGATTTTTAGTGTTACCATTTGCAAATACATGTGAAGTAAATCGACATTAAAACTTCCATCAGGAACGTAACGAAAAAAGAGATATTAAGCTGATAAATGATGAATATATTTGCTAAGTTCTCACCAAAGTCGTTTTCATTTTGTGTTGATTCTTCCTTGAAAAGATGGGTCTTTTTTCATTTTAAGGAAAATAAAATGTGACTTAAATGATGATGACTTCATATCCAGCTTTCTCATAATTAATTTGCCAAAGTCTGTTCAGTATAATAAAGTATTTTTTCCCAGTAATGTGCTAAGGGCAGAGTGCATCAAAATTTGCATTTTAATTGGCTTCTCGTGAAAGAAATCGAATTTTTTTTTTCTCCAGTCAAAATAATATAAAACTTGAAATTTAGCCTTTGGAGTTCATCGTGTAAACTGAACGCTTTTAAAGAAGAAACCTTTCCGCAACAGATCAATGTATATTGTTTAGGAATTCAGAGGACTCATTAGACACACTGTTTTCCTTATACAAATACATGTTAATGTGATATTTAACTACCCTTAGGCGTGAATTTTTAATTCTTAAATTAAAGCAATTAATTGTAGCAAATGGATTGATTGAATATGAGGGTGCATACTCCGTCGACGTATCCAAGACATTTTACCCTTTTCGTGTCCAGGGTTGATGGGCCATGCTTGCAACGGGTTGCTTATTCAATTGGTAAAGCTTACACTCTGGTTTTAGAACAACTAATTGCATCCAGTGGTTATGGAATTGTACATATATACCTATTGGTTCAGGCAATAGTGGCATTTTTAAATAAAATACATCGATGGCAAAGAATAGTTAGAATGTCTCCCAATAACTACTGACTATCCGAATTGATAAGACTTAAATTTTTTACTTAGAATCCATGCCAGTTCTTGCTTCATTTTATCTCGACATCTACTAATTATCAACTTTTCTAAGTGAGAATAGTAAACCTATGAAATATATAAATAATCATATTGCCGTTATTATATATGCGTTAGCCTAAATATTATTACCTTTGCCAGTTGATGACAACTGGATACCATCAATACAGTGAGTCAAATAAATCTGTGTCCTGGGGCTGTTTATCTGATCCTGCCATTATAATGGGATCTTTTCTGAGGCATCTTTAGAGAGCAAAGAAGTGCATTGATAATTTAAAATTAATTCAAAATTTAACTTAGATATTAAAAGGCGAGAAAACGAAAGTTTCTACCAAAGTGTCAGCCAATCGAAATCAAGATACAGTTTGAATTGAACAATTTGACGGTATAAGGATGGTCGTGTGGTAACCTAACGTATTCTGTGCTTTGTTTCTCAGTCGAGGTACAAATTAACGACAGGTGGTTCTCATGTTTAATTAACGTGTGGGTTCTTCGTTTTAGTTGTTAAGATTATACATCCAGTGGCGTTGATTGCAGTTACATTCATTTGTTCGTGATGGCCTAGCCGTATTTCACAGATCAAATGCGTTACATAGACAACGTCCACACTACGAAGCAGTTAAAGAAGTATCTTTGACGTACTCTAACTCTGAAAATAACACTCAGCTCTAATTTTGGGTAAGTTTGCACGTTGAGTACGCCCGGTACGAATTTGATCGACTATTGCGGCATTCGACTGACTTCGACAATTTCTCGTCATCATTCCTTTTTTTTCTTTTTTCTTCTCGATTAACGCGCACAGTCATATGCCAGGGATATTTACAGTTTTACTTTGCTTGGTGAATGTTGTGCTCAAGACACGTATTTTACTTACTGAATTTATGCGTCATTATGCTCTCTCAGAGGAATTGTTTTTGTCGAGATATCTTCTTTTAATTTTCATCTTAAAAAGCCGATGAAGAGTAAAGAACTTCTCGAAGCGGGCCACTTAAACTCTCTAATAATTTTAACGATTATCAATTCACTTTTTTCGAGAAGATAAAATAATATGAGGTCTAATAGAACCATTCCCTGGAAAGCTTGATTCAGTTTCGGACTAAAATCGTCCCTAAAATATTTCGATAATGCAACGAAAACAATTGTCTTTTTAATCAGGGTGATAATGAAAGATTGGACTAAGGTGTTTTCAGCTGTCTTCATCGGAGCTGTTGTTGCAAATTTCATCACTGTGTCAGCCAATGATAACTCTTCTACAGAGGAAGACGAATCGAAGATCGAATGGTACCTAAATCTAACAATAACTTGGATTGCCAAACCACCGTATGTCGCTCGACCCACCAATGGATCTATAGACAGCGGGGCTCAGGGACTGATCCGAGATACACTTTTACGATACATGACGTTTGAATGTGGTATTCTTCATGGCATCGAATACCAAGTAGAAGACCGCCAAGTTAACAGTGAATATGAAATGATCGCACTTCTGAGGCAAAACAAAGTCCACGTTGCAGCTCCTATATTTGAGCCAAAAGGAGACAGACACTACAGCGAGTTCCCATTTTTCAAAGTCGTTGATTATCCAGGAACAGACTACATTACCACTGAAGAAGGAAACAACAAGATCAGCTATGTTTTGGATGCCGTTCTGAAGTCTTGGCCACTGCTAGCTGTTACTCTGGTCCTGACAGCCATTTCAGGAGTTGTTATGTGGGCTTTGGTAAGTTTGAGTTTGTGTAACAAAACAGTCTCTAGCGCCCAAAGGGTATTTTCTAACTATATGCACTACTTTTTTATTGTTTAATAAATTTAAACCTTTGATCTTAGGAGCACTATTTTGTGTCCTTAAGAGACGGTTAGGAAGTGTCACGGCAAAAAAGATATATTTTGAAATCATTCATTTCTCACCTCTTTATCAACAACAGCGACCGGCACATCTTGCAGCGGGTAAGCAACCGTTTGGGGATACACATTGAGAAATTTGATCGTATTTATTTATTCATTAATAATATAACACCTTTTTTCTTGTTTACTAAGAATTGTTTCTTCACTTTTTTCAGGACACTTACTGGAATAGTGAAGAGTTTCCACGTTCATTCATCAAAGGCTCATGGGATGGATTTTGGTGGTCTTTTATTTCGATGACCACAGTAGGGTAAACCTCTTTAGTTACATAACTAGCTTTGCAAAAAATGTTGTCAAACACCTAATGAATTTTGGAGATTTTATTTAAATTTATGGACACTACAAATTTTAATTGGACCTCAAAACAGTGGACCAGAGAAGCCTCCCTCGTTGATGTCCAATGTTTATTTCGGGCCGATTCAGCATGGTCCAGCCATCTAATTTTGGATGTTCTATCATGATCACTGTGCAAGCAGATTTAGGTGATAATGATCTCTTTCGTCTCAGGTATGGTGACAAATCTCCCAAATCCCTTCCTGCACGGATATTCTCCATTGTTTGGATTCTCGTGGGCCTGATTGTTATGGCAATCTTTACAGCGAACGTCACTTCAGCCCTGACGGCTCTTTCCCTGGAAACCGAAACAAGTAGCTTTGCTAATAAGAAAGTGAGGCTGATAGATTACTAAACGATGAAAAAAAACGTGGCATGTTATGGATAAATTAGCGATACAAGAGGCTAACGCCGTGCAACGTACACCATGCATTCCCGAACAGATTGCAGATCACCAAGAAAATGTCATCATTACATGTGAAGACACGCGTAACGATGTTGTGACTTTCCTATTTCCGTTCTTGTTCTTGGTTAAATTTCATTCCTGTTCTTGCCGTTATTCCTCTTATTCTTCTCCTGCGTCCTCTTTTTCTTTTTCGTTGTCGTCATGTCCTTTTTAAAAACGATCTAAAAAGTTATTATTATAATTATACAACTGTGTTGTAGAAAACTATACTGTCTGATAAAAAAATTTTTTTCGTCAGGTTGCAGTTATAGGAAATGGGACAGAGTACCAACATGCACTACAGGAGGAGGCTGAACCAATAGGTATATATGTACAATTCCATAACCACTGGATGCAATTAGTTGTTCTAAAACCAGAGTGTAAGCTTTACCAATTGAATAAGCAACCCGTTGCAAGCATGGCCCATCAACCCTGGACACGAAAAGGGTAAAATGTCTTGGATACGTCGACGGAGTATGCACCCTCATATTCAATCAATCCATTTGCTACAATTAATTGCTTTAATTTAAGAATTATAGTCAACTTGTTTTCCTTGTGAGCCGTTAGCCTTAAGAACGACGTCTCAACAACCTATTCAAAAGTCAACAGCTACAGTCTTGTACGTCAGTTGGGTGTAATAAACCGACTGGTACGTCAGGTCGTTCTGCTCGGTTCGTTTTTAAATGAACTAATTAAATTCTTGGGTATGTTGAAAGTGGTTGTTGACATTTTTGAGGAGTCTTTTCTTAGTTAGCACACCAGCTTTCCAGAGTCAGTCGTTGAAAGTAGTTGGTGCTGTAAGTTAAAAGTTGCGGGAAATCTCAATTATTGATGTAGTTCGCTACACTAGGTGATTGTTGATGACACTATTTAATTTCTCGTCACTCTTTCTTTTAAATTCATGCCAGTCTCTTCAGTGTACGAGGGTCGGCATTCTGTCTGCCGTGTTAATACTTTGTTGTTTTTTTTTCATACTGTATCTAGTGCGCAACAGTATCGAAGACGCTGTTAAAGATGTGCAGTCCCAGAAAGTCGATGGATTATTCATAGATAACTACGCAAACACCTTTTACCACTCAAGAGAAAAACTGAAAACGCTTCTCACCGTCAAGAAATTGGAACTTCAAAGAGATGTCGGGGTTCTCTTTTCAAAGGACAGAAAATACCTGGCAGATTGCTTAAATTATCAGCGTTCCACCATTTTGAGGTCGGCTCAAACCATCACTGCAACATATAAGGTACAGCTTTAAGTTGGGAGAATTATTTGAACAGCGAGCTCAGATCTCTGCTTTATCAGCTATTGTGCGTGAAACATGAAAAACATTTAACAGGGTCAACAACTTCTGTTACCCGGGTCACTTAGACAAAAGTAACCAATTCGAATGCAGGAGAGGAGAAATTAATTCCTTATGACTTCTTTCTTGTCATCGCTTGCTTTAATCCCATGATTGGCACGATTTGAGTTATGATGAATTGATCTATTTATAAGAAAATCATGAATGTTTTCTTTTTTGACAGTCCACCAAAAGTAATCCAGCCAAACAATTCAGTTTGTTTGACGATTCTTCCAGCTTTGTTAAAATACTCCTGTACATTTTGCTTGGAGTATTGGCGGGAATGCTTTGTATTGGAGTAATATGGGACTTACTTATCAGGAAGAAGTCTGGCAAGCAGCAAAATTCCATGATAGAGTGGCGTAAGCTTGTTTTCTGTTGACGGTGTCCATTTGTTTATCGTGTTGTGAATAATATCGTCTGCCTGTAATTCATTCATCTATCCATTTATCCATCGGTCTTTTCATTTTACTTAAGTTTACGAATCTATCCTTTCAACCCCACATCAGTCATTACGGATTAAGTGATTCAGTCATTTATACAATTATTCACTTTTTCAACAGCCATCCCTTCATTAATCTACTCATTCATCCTTATATCCATCCATCCATTCATTCGATTCATTCACGTCATCCACAATTGATGTGGTTATGTGGCATTATGAAATAATCCAACTTCATTCATTTAACAGAAGCTGAAAACAAAGGAATGGCGTTAACTGAGAGAGAAAGTATTCTCAACGACTTTGAAGTAGCCAAAAGACTTCTTAAACAAATGCAAGATCACTTTACAACACTGGAATCAAAGGTTTCAAAAATTCGGGATAACCAGTAAACGGTGCGTTCAGTGGGATTTGCAAGTTATGAACCATGCAACACGTGTACAGGTTCAAAAAATATCTAGATTGCATATCTATGTATGTACGGATTTCACTCCAAAGGCAGATAATATTTAACATCTGTGTAAGAGGATAAAGTTAGGACAGCATTATCTACCTATCTATTGCAACTTGATGGAAATTTCTGAAATGAAGTAGGCTTGTATGTTAAAGCAATCGTACTGGAAAATAGCTATCGTGTATGATTTCGTCATTTACTAACTGAATTTTTCTGGCTCTTCCCCTAGCTTCTTGCTCAACTTCCTTTAAACTAATCCTCATTATATCTATCAATCTGCATCTTCACATTTTGGCTTGGGGTGAAGTTATCTATTCTCACGTTAACTTACAGATATCTTATTACTTTCACTGAAATTAAGAACTTAGCGAATGCAAATTATCGCCGGATCTCTTTGAAGTTTTCAAATTCTTGTATTAGTCCAAAATTTAGCCTTTTTCTTCAATAATTTTTTCACCCCTTTTTTCATATTAAAAAACCTAACGTAGCTTATTATTTCATCGTTGTCTCTCATAATCGGTTCAATAGTAAACAACAAAGTCTTTGTTAAGTTCTTACTTAGTTAAAATGCATTGAATTTTGTCGTTTCATTAGTTCAATAGTTCAGGTAGTCCAGCTGCGTGCATCCAGCGGCAGCGACGAGCTACCATAAGGCCTTGCGAAGAGGGAATGGTTGATAATTTTAACTGGAGGCCAATTCGACCGTAGAGGTGACTTAGCGAGATTAAAAACACACTTGGCTACTATCCTATACACAAGCAACTGCGTTTATCTATTACTCCTTGCACAATAGAATGGAAATTACGTAAAATACGAATATATTTATGTTCACATAACACTTAGTGGAAAAAAGAAATGAATATCTGTTCAAAGTCATTAAACCGAATATGAATTAAATGCTAATGATTTTTAGAACTAATACAAAATTTCCTATTTCTTGTTTTTGTCCTGTTTTGATTTTTTCAGTTTATTTGTTTTACCTTTTTCTGTGTTGCTTTATTTCTTTCTCGCAATATAATTCCACACTTTCTCAAAGAATGATAAGCCTGGCCGAGTGACAACATTTTGTTCACCGTGGCAGTGACTACGAGCAAAATTGATTTGGAAAGTTCATCATTAATACCAACATGGGCCTATATGGATTTTCTAATATTATGATTTCTTGATCTGGCAATTGGTCTTCCATAATTGGATAATTAATGTGCAGAAAAGCCTTGTTTTCGAAGTCAAAGAACACATACAGTGAAACCCCGTGTCGCTTACTCCATCCAGTGAATAGCAGCGTGTGGCTTGAGAGCCTGTGTCTTGAAACCAAAGAACAGTGAAACAGGTAATTTTTAAAATCGACACATCTGCAAAATTTATTTACATATAACTGCACGGGTACCATTAATTAAATATTCTCGTGTATCGTTGGACACAATCCAGAAGGATTCTAGTCATTTCCGAAAAGGTATGGATCTACTGTACAGCAAACTCGCCCAAACCTTAATTTTTTGCAAAATTTACGTACAGATTCGCCTGTTTCACAGAAGTAGAGAGAATGAATATTTTACATGTAGTGTTACATGTTCTATGATAGCTGTTAAAACGGTACACAGTTTGAGTTACGCTCTTGACCTCGGCTTTCCATGAATGTATTTCAATAAATTGTTTTCTGCTGAGTCGAGTCTAGTAAAGAGGATAAATGACTCTGTAAAATAAAAAAATTAGCCGTTGTCTTCTCTATCACTGAATCAGCTTGAAGCTAAGATAAGGTACTGAAAAATGATACAACGGGGAGAAAGTTTATCTGACCAGGTCAAAAACTTTCTCCCATAGCCACTGTTTTAACAAAAGATGAGTTAATTTTGAATTCGCTCCGATCCTAATTTTCTTGAGACCTCATAACGTAGTCATTTTGGGGTTTGACGACATTTAGAAAATGAAAATAAAAAAAAGTATTAAATGCCTTTATTGTTTAGAAAGCATAAACAGACCAACAAAGTAAGAGTCACCCCTTACATAATGATGAAGTGTTTGCAAAAGCACGGAGGAAAAGGAGACAATTGTCACGAAATTCATTGACACAGTTGAATAATTCTCTAGCTAACCGGTTTTAAAAACGTTTAAAGTTTAGAATAAAAAAAGTCATACACAGAGCACGTCCACGAAAATGATTTCAATTTACTTATATTTTCCTTTTCTTATTTCTTGTGTTAAAGCTGCCCTAACTAATTTGTCCAAAATGCAAATTAGTTGAGAACTGCCACTGTCTCACTGAGCCATTTCAATATGAAACTTTCAATATTTAATATCGACGAAACAAGAGCTGTAGTAACTTTCATATTCTAAAGATTTCGTCTGCCAAGGTAATTTACTCTAACATTCAAAACGTAAATTGTGTTTCAAACGATTTCAGAAAGAGACGTTGAGCATGTCAATCAAGCTTTCAATGATGACATCATTTTTTTGGATAACGCGCATTCAAAACTACAACGAAACTTTGATACATTTTGCGACAAAAAAAATAGGAAATGATTCCCTTATCTTAAAAAGTGTCCGATTTAACACTTTTTCAAAAGGGACGTGAAAAATGTTTAAGGTACTACAATCGGTGTATTCAGATAAAGCTGTCTGTCTCGCTGTGTACAAGTTTAACAAAGCCTCACACACAAATACGAACTAACTAAATCGAAAGAAACCTTTCTAGATCCAATATCACGATCTCAATCTAAATAAACTTTTCTTTCCATAAGAAAAATTAAGCAGTATCTCTTTTCTTGTTAACACTGATCGAATGGCTTGAAATATCAATTCCAAGCGAAATTATACAAGCATCTTTTCAAAGAGAAATTATGCAAGTATCGTTATAAAGAGGGATTATGCAAGTATCTTTTCATAGAGAAATTTTTCATCTATCTTTATAAAGAGAAATTATGCAAGCATCTTTTCATAGAGAAATTATGCATTTATCTATGTAAAGAGGAATTATGCAAGCATCTTTTCAAAGAGAAATTATGCAAGTATCTTTTAATTAGGAACAGCGGAAAGTCAATGGTGCGACATGAGGCCGCCGCCATTGTTTATCAAGAATAAATCTGTTACGATTAGCAGATTGACTTACTGACTAACAGACCAATCGAATGAACGACTGACTGTATGACTGACTGACAGACTGCCTGACCGACTGACTGAACGACTGACAGACTGACCAACCGACAGATCGATTGACTGACTGACCGACTCATCGACTAACTGACTGACCGACTCATCGACTAACTGACTAACTGATCGACGGACCGACTGACCAACAGACTGACTGACCGACTGAATGACTGCCTACCGATCGATTGACTAACTAACCGACTGACTGACTGTCTGCCTTAAAAACTGACCCACTGACCGACTGTATGACTGACCTACCGATCAACTGACTGACTAGCCCCTACTGACTGATTGTCTGCCTTCGAACTAACCAACTGAATGACCGACGGATCGACTGGCTGACTGACCAACCGACGGACCTACTGACCAACAGACTTACCTTTGACCGTCAAAACGACGGACCTACTGACCAACAGACTTACATTTGACCGTCAAAACGACTGACTAACTGAACAACTGACCAACTGACAGACCGATTGACGGGTTGACCAACTGACTGAGCAACTGACTGACAGACTGATCGACTTGCTCGTTTGGCGTTATTGATTAATTGATTGATGGATTTCTTTACTCATTTCCCTGGCAGAGAAAAATAATGGCGACTTGGTTTAAGTTATTGTTGGCTCTTTTCATTGGTCTCGTTGCTTTTAAATTCCGAGTGACTTCAGCTAAATCAAACTCATCCGAATCTGATGATAATGATGATCATGAAAAGGAGGAAAACCTAACCATTGCCTGGATATACAAGCCTCCCTACATAAGAGGACCCGATAACAGTTCCTTGGACAATCAAGCTCATGGAATAGTACGAGATGTCATGTTAAAATACATAGTAAAAGATTGTAGCAGAGAATTTGGCAATCCCCACTATGAAATAAAGACTCTCAAAGCTGATAGTGAGTCTGCCATGATACAATTGCTGAAGCAAAACAAAGTCCATGTAGCAATTCCTATATTTGAACAACAAGACAATCAAAAGTACTCTGAATTTATCTTTTTTAAATTACTGGATTATCCTGGAACGGAATACATAACTTTGGCTGACGATGAAAACAACGACGCTCTTGATGTCGTTTTTGATTCTGTATTGAAGTCTTGGCCATTGCTTGCCGTCACCATGATCTTCACGGCCATTGCCGGAATCATCATATGGGCACTGGTAAGATTAAGTCATAACTACAGTTGTCCTTCGAGATAAATTTGAATTCATGGTTGCAAAATTAAAATGCTCACATATATCCATTTACCTTTACAAGTCAGTCTCTGTTAAAAAAAAAACTTCAGAGGTTTTTTGAACTTATAAAAATGAAAGCAGATGCTGCCGACAAGGTGCTTTTAGTTGACCTCAAACCCATATTTTAAGCAGTCGTGATCTCATCCAATGTACCTCTTTAAGCTAGTCAACAGAACGGAATATAACTTTGCCTACCCTTTCATTAACAATAAGATAAGTATAAAATGATCATTTGCTGTGCTAAGGATAGGAATGACATTCTTATGACTACATAGAGATGTGAGCGGGAAAAAGCGAAAAAAACTTTATTTATATTTTTTGTACTACCAGGATACATACTGGAACGTTGAAGAATTTCCACGCTCATTCATCAGAGGCTCATGGGATGGATTTTGGTGGTCCTTCATTTCTATGACCACTGTAGGGTAAGCTGACCACTGTAGGGTAAGCTGACCACTGTAGGGTAAGCTGTCTGAGTGGTCAGAATGTGGTAGTTTCGTTCTTTATTATAGTAGAATTGCAGACTGGTCCACGTGTCTTATGCTCTTTCGTGGTTAAGCTCCATAGGTTTGTTTACTACCCAGGACACCGTCCTAAAATCATCGCTGATTCCTATTTTCTTTTATACCTTTTTATTTCGCAAGGTATGGAGACAAGGCACCCAAGTCGGCCATGGCTCGTATTTTCTCTGTCGTCTGGATCTTATTTGGCCTCATAGCTATGGCAATTTTTATGGCAAATGTCACCACAGCATTGACAGCTCTCTCCCTTCAACTTGAACCAACCAGCCTTCGTGGTGTTCAAGTTAGTTTGAAAAATACCAATCAATAAAAGTTAACTCTCTCGTTTGTTAAGTTACCAATAATAATACTGGTCAAAGTATTCCTTATAGAATGTTCCAGTAATTAGTAATATGATTCATTAATTATCTTTTTACCGGAGGGAGAGTTAATTTTTTTAAAACAGTATAATTACTATTCTACTGAATAACACTATTTCATTCCGCGCAAATTCTATCTGTAAATGAAGTCTTTTATCGTGCGAAGAAAAGATTAATTATTATCTTTACATACTCCAGATCTTTTTATTAAGAGGTGTATTTGGCAAACAGAAGTTTGTCTTTTCCGTAAAGCAAGAAGACACAGTACCAAAACTTCCCCTGAAGGTTTCATATCACTTGGCATGCGCGAGAAAAAAACTCTTCTCGTTTTACCAAAGTTTTAGGAGTTTGCGCAAGTTGTCCTTCAGTAACTTCTCATAATTGAACATTGAACATTGAACTAAAGATAATTATGTTCTGAATATAATTCCGTTTTAACATAATTATGTTTTGACATTTTTTCAGGTTGGAGTGATAGGAAATGGAACAGAATATCAACATGCACTGAAAGAAGACGCACATCCAAAAAGTAATGAATGCATGTACAAACTGAGAGAGCATTGTGAACTAAGGAAAGGGGAAGATATAACACAATAGTAAATCATTTGGTGTGTGTGTGTGATATATTTTCTCGTTATCGGTTTTGTTTGTTTTATTTTCTCAGTCTACAACAACATCGATGATGCTGTCGATGCACTCAAATCAAAACAGGTCAAGGGAATGTTACTAGATCGCTATACAGCCTCCTATTACCAGAAAAGAGACAAACTTAAAACTCTTCTCGCTGTGAAGAAGTTAGACTTGCAGAGGGACGTAGGAGTTCTATTCAATGAGAACAAAAGAGAACTTGCTGAATGTCTACAAAATTACCATCGCTCCGCCATTTGGAGATCAATGCAAACCTTGACTTCGTTTTACGAGGTACCTAGTCTAACGTAATGTTTTCATAACGCAACGTTACTCTACAGTTTAAAAGTATCTTTCACGTACACGTGCATGAAAGGTAAAACATCTCTCCTTTGTTTAATCGTCTCAGTCTACAAGTTCTTTCGTATAAATTGAAAAATGACATACTTAAACAACAAAAAACAATGCACATATGTTTAATTAACCTTGTCACATCAAGGACTTTCAACATTTCAATTGTTCATTAACGGGAGAGGGCGTTTCAGTCCCGCCTATAAAATGTGGGGCAAAAAAAAAAAACTGCACGGAAGGTTCTAGTACGTTAGTCTCTTAATTTCTGTGTACCCTGGAAGAGTGGAAACAGAGATTTGATATAACATTGTCCCATTTAACCTAATGGAAAGAGGTTCAAAGTAAGGCAAGGCAGCAAAAAAAAAAAAGGATGAAAATAACAGTGCTGTTATCTAGTTTGAGAGCTCCAAGAACTCGTGAAAGTCATATATATGAGTTCACATTGGAACAATGGGAAATCTCCATACGCCGGTTAGTTAATAATTTAGCGTTACGGATGGTCAGGTGCTTAAAAAACCTTGACATAAAACATAAAACATAGAAATCTGTCGGATTTTCAAGAAATCATCTCTACCAACTATGACAAGTGCTTCACTGGATCGTCTTGGAGTAGCTTAAAATGTATGTGGTGAATTATAGAAATGTACAAATTCCATGTACTTAAATAGAAGCGATCCTCGCAGTTATGAACACTACTGAACTAATAGTTGAAATAAGGCCTCAAAAAAAATTCAGGCCCGCAGGGGATTTGAACCCATGACCTTTGCGATATTGGTGCAGCGCTCTATCAATGGTATCGCAGAGGTCATGAGTTCAAATCGTTTCTTCAACCGCAGTGCACATATATGATTTTCTTATATTTACAGTCATTATTCTATGTACTTGTTTTCCATTTTTATTTAGTTTGAGCACCAGACGTCTTCAAAAAGCTTCAATCTGTTTGATGATTCCTCACCATTTGTTAAGTACTTGATGTATATATCACTTGGACTATTGGTTCTAATGCTTCTTATTGGACTTGCGTGGGACATATTATTGAGAAAGAAAGGAAAAGGGAAGCAAAATACCGTAATAGGTAAGTATCCATAGCATTATTTATGATAGATAAGTTCTCAATCGATTATCCTAATGAGTCTATTTATTATTACTTTTATTAGTATTATTATGGATTTAATACTATCATTTTTATTATCCTTTTTATTATTGTTTGAAGTTGTCTTACAGTAGCACGTTTATTGACCGACTGACGATTCGATCGAGGGCTTGGGCCACTGACGAAATAGCAGATCTGCCAAAGCTCGGGATGAGAAAAGAAATATAGTGGTTCAGAGCCTCAATAGAGTCGTTCATTTAATCATCATCATCGTTCACTGAAATTTCTCAAACCTGGCGAACCGGCATACTTGGATACGATATCACTTCGAAGTTCCCTGAGTTATATTTGAACAGCGGAATGAGTTTAAATACACGCCATTCTCAGATTCAAAAATGCCAACATCCTTTTTCATTCCCTCTAGCAGCGGCCATGGATGATAGCTGGGGAATGACAACCAAAGGAGATACAATACGTGCCGATCTTGAAACAACGCGAGTTCTTCTTCGTCAAGCATTGGAACAATTTGACCAGCTGGAATCCAAAGTCTCGAAGCTGAAACTGGTCTAATGATCAGTTATGAGACAATATTAAAGTCTTAAGTTATTCGACGATGTAGCCATTACTTGCCGACTAGCTTGCTATTTGCATAATGTTAACCCTACGGCTTTGATTTCGGCCTTATTTATGAGTGCGCAAATAAGCCATTGTATTTACGCCAGCTAAAATTTTATCATGAAATTCGTAGCTACTCAAATGTATACCCATGTTCCAAGAGTGAAAAAAATAAATCATCTACTCTGAGCCTGGTAGTTAGTAGTGTTTCAAGAGTGTAAAACGCTTCAGGAACCAATGGGTTGAATTATTGAAAGAAAGAAGATTATTGGAAAGGAACGTTCTGGTTTAGGCCTCCTTTGAGTATTCAACACTTCAATTCACAACAGACGCAAACGTTTCGCAAAACAATTTGGCAGCTTTTGTTCTAAACTTGACATGGAGCAGATAAGATTACCAATGAAAACAAAGATAATTATCAAATACTGCCTCATAGTTTGGCCAATGCAACATCAATTACCCATTTGTCTCCGTAGACGGATGACTTGCCTGTGATTTGACGGACAGTAAGGCCGTTTAACTCAGCTTATAGTGCAATAATTAATGTGAAAACTAATACTTATGTGTCGGTACATGATATTTTTGTCAATCCTCCCAACAGAGCGTCGATCAGCTGTTTCCAGCTTGTCAGCTTTTGTTGTAATATCTACAAGCGCGATGCGAATTACCTTGAAAATCGTGCTAGTAACAACAACAGTTACACAAACCAGCACGCCGCTCTGTTTGCACGATCTCCAAAACTCAATCTTGTGATACTCGAGAGCAGCTACTTTCCAACTTATTTTGATTCGAGGATTTCTGTGAGTTACTTTATTGAACGTTTAGGCTAAGAAGAGTGGAAAACCATAGATTTGAGGAAACTAATACATTAATATAAATAGTGCTAACATATTCGAGAAAATTCAAGGGGTCGACCCCATAACCTATTTGCTGCTTTTCAAAGGAATGAGGAGTATTACCAACTGTAAAGAAAAAAGGCCAGAGAGATTATTGGGCTCCTCAAAGAGCTTACACGGGCATACAGACCCTAAAGCATCCACCATGATTTCGCTTCACTTAAGAGCAGAAGAAGGGAAACAGAGGAGACGTTTTCAGCTTATGAGAGTTTTCATTTTGTTCTGCTCTTGTAACAAATATATTGAACAAATCTATTTTGATGTTAGTTCACCATCTGGATGCAATTGTTTAGCAGCTACCGTGAAGCTGAACGAACAAATTCGAATAACCTCTTCCACCCGTTGTTTTCCATGTAGGTGCAACAGCCCAATAAATTCATATAGCCCCTGGAAGAGGACGACAATATTGTTGATTTGAAAACTAAAGAACCGGAAAATAGAATACATTGGAAACGCTCGACTAAGGTTAATGCATTCGCATTTCGCTGATAATTAACACGACATACTATGCATTTCTTCGTGCAACTTACTATCAATCAAACCAAACATGTTTCCAGCATTTTATTTTTTACCAGTTGAAATACTCTTTGACTAACATTTATGCGACCATTATTTTCCTCTTTTTGAACTAAGATATCCTTTTGTTAACTTTGCCACACACATTTCGCAATTATACATATTTTCTGTCGGTTTATTCATTCTTTAATAAGCATGCATGTCAGTGAAGAATGATATCAATGTTTGTGGCAATGGAAAAAAATATCTGCTGACAAAATGAAGAGGAAGATCTAAGCTCTTTTAAACTCTTTATCTCACAAGATCTGACGCGAGAGTCCGATTTGTTAATCACTAGTCAGAATTGGACGAGTCCTGTTACCAATTAATCATAACCACTACAATTTCCGAAAAAAAAGTGAATATATTTAAGACCAACATCTTTAGTACGTAGAGACAATGTCTAAAGCAAAAAATTGGTAAACTTCCTAGTTTTTTTTTCAGGGTAAGAGGTTGTTGCTATGGTTATTGTGATCAATTCTGTGATTGGTGTGATTTAGCTGAGTAGACTTAGTATGATTGGCTGCTTCAACTGTCCGATTACAGGTGTCTGATTACAGCCAACTGCCCGATTGCACCATCCGATTACAATTGTACGGAGAGATAAGTGATATATAAAGCAGCTGATGCACCAATAACATTCGAGGAAATTGTAATGATTTTGACCAAAGTGTTAATACGGAGGAAAATCCATATTCCATTCCATCCCACTCGCATTTTCAAACGATCCTGGGAACAAAACTGTTAAAAAACACCTCCATAATGCAAATATTTTGAGTCCAAATGAAGACCCGTCGTGGTTTTCCTAGAGAATGGTGGTTAACTGAAGATATTAACATCATTTTGCAGGGACAAAATGGCCAGCAACACCTGCAACACAACATCAAATAGCACCTATGAAAGGACACGTTCAGCCATTCTTACATCAGATTGTACTACACTGTTGGTGATGCTCATCTCTGAATGTCTGGCAATAGTCATCTTAAATCTCATCACTATTATTGTATTCACGAAGAGGCGCCATTTACATCGCCGGAGTAAATTCTTAGTCATCAATCTGGCCATAGTCGATTTCTTAGTTGGATTAGTCTCTGTTCCTGCTTTGGCCATGATTCGAGTTTGGTACTTCTGTTATGCAAGGGACCACAATGACGCTCAAACGAGAGAATATAAGATTATGGTTTTAGTCATTCTGAGGGATCTTTTTCCTCTCACCTCCCTTGTTAATCTTGCAGCTATTTCGTTGGAACGATTACATGCTACCTTTTTCCCATTCAAACATCGTTTTACTAAGAAATGGGTGTATGGAGTTATAATTTCCAGTACCTGGTTAGTGGCTCCATTCTGTGAAACATCTCTTTCTGTTTTACATTTTTATCTTAAACGGGATACCAGCATAAGTCTCATGGTCTCACTTATTTGGTATGTATTTTTTCTCTCCATCATCTGTTTTTCTTACATATCGTTATTTATCAAGGTTCGATATGGTCACAATCCCCAGCACCATGGTGCAACCAATAGAGATAGAAAATTAACCATCACTTTAATTTGGGTTACATTTGCCTCGCTTCTGTCTTGGTTGCCATTTTTTGTTGTAACAACCCTGAGGTATTTCAACAAAGATATCTCAAATACGCTTTCCAACCGGTCATATTTCTATTTTACCTCAGCAATGTATATGTCAGTCGGGGTAAATTCCTTAGCAAATCCACTCGTGTACGCCGTAAGGATGCCGGAATTCAGGGCCGGTCTAGTAAAGATATTTCGCAAAACTTAAAGTTGTGAACGCCCTGAAAACTTTCCACTTCAAGATAGGTACAGAAGGTCTCGATAACAGATCTTTGCACCTACAGCTCTTAGTTTATCCACTCCTTATTCAACGAAAACTACATTTCATACATATATTAAATATATTTGGAACTGAAAATAATACCTAAAGGTATATAAGGAAAAAAATAGTTAGTAATCATCTCGGTGGAAAATATGAATGAAATCGCATGATATTTTCATTCTATAAGAAAATGGCAAATCATACCAAAGTCATAGATTAATTGTCGAAAAAGCAGCTGTAATTTGGAGCCACGTTTAACATATTTGGTACCAGTCAACCCCTTGTATTTTTAATCGTAGAACTACTTACAGAATATTAATGGTATTCAGCATCAGCTATTAAAACGTCCTAACACCAGAAACTAATAGAGAGTATTCAACCTTTCGTCTTTACGGACTTCCCTTTCCATACGTGGCCTGTTTTTATCAGTTCAAGCTCAAATCAGTAACAGTAATTGCATTTGTCAAGTTGCACCAACTATTTTTACCATCGTAGAATGAGCACCCATTTCCTGATACTTCATTTATATATCATTCAATCGTAATTTGATTTAGATGTGTAGCACCTTCAGGAACATAGACGCTTGTTAAAAACTGTTGGTGCTTATTCATATCAATGTAATTAATAATTATAAAAGCATGAAAAATGATCATTGTGTTAAATCCATGTTATAGTTACTTGTGAAAAAAAAGCTGAGATTACTGATTGTCTGTAAATACCACACAGGTGAATTATGCTAATTGGCTACTTTGAATTGAATTGAAATGAACTGCAAGTGCAATTCACCTCCGAGCAGCCAACGTGACAAAAAGAGTTTAATTTTCGACCAATGTTGGTTTTCGGCCAAAATTAATTTTTTTTGGTTTCGCTATGGTAGATACCAAAACAATAATTTACTATGACTCCTAAACCGTGCAAACGTAAAATTTGGTTCTACATGTCTCAAATTTTTAGAAAAATCGACAATCGATTTCTTGACCGGGGCGGTCTTTGTTCCTGCTCTCACGGTGCTTCGAGTGTCTCGCCTTTGTTATTATGGGGACTTCTCTTATACTTTACAGAGAATTTAACATCTAATTTTAATCAATGTGGCGGATCTTTTCCTTTTATCTTCCTTGTTGATCAAGCAGTTATTTCGTTGGAACGATTGCATGCAGCTTTGATGCGACGTCAGATTCTCTCCAGTCACCTTTAATTAGCAACGCTGTAGTCTACTCTCGGAAATGTCCCAGAGTCGCACTGTTCCTTTGTCATAGAGTCAAGAGATTTAACTTTACCTTACTCTTGATGTATGATTAATTTAGTGTCCATGGCTTGATATGTATATCGCCAAACACCAAAAAAGACCGTGACATATCGATAGGATGAGTGAGAATTTCAAAATGAGTAGAATTAAGATCCGCTAATGGTGGTGAGCCCCATACAACTTGGGCAGGTTGGCATAGAGCGAAGCCCCCACATGAAGAGATTGAATTATCTACTTCTGCTAATTTCAATCGTTCTAACTATTGGCAAAAATTGGGGCCGTTTTATGATTGACAATAAACCTTCCAAACTTTTTAGCTTCCGTTAATTTGCAAAATGCAAATGTTACCACCAGACTTGGAAAACGATAACATGCAGAGTAAGAGTCTTTCTCATTAATACAAATTCTTCACCTTAATGCTGGTTAGCGTTACTACAAAAAATATGTACGAATTGAACAGATAGAACGTTTCATCTTAGCTGAGACAAAAACAGTTACAATAAGATTTTTTAAGCCATTATCATACCTGATAACTTTTACAGATAATTAAGTTGTTTTCATTCAATCAACGACGAGATTAAAGTTCGTCAGTTAATCTTACGAACATCTAGCTCGAGGCTTTCTGCTTTAATTTGTTGGTCTTTTGAATTTTGTAAATCATCGTTTGTTGAAAAAACAGCCTGCTAAGTCGGAGCGTGTCGCAAAAAAAAGGTGTGAGAGTAGGCCGAAAACTATGGTTAACTAATCAGATGGAGAGCAAACACAAACTTCATACAAACGAAAATCTTTGGCTTGACCTTGCAGAGTACATTTAAAGAGGTCGTTATCACACTTACTTGAATTCCTAGTCGATTCAAAATATGGAAAACAAATTATTCTGTTTCTATTATTAGATCTTCATATGGCTTACTTGTTTTTATTGGTTTACCGTAAATTCCTTTTTTTGCACGGGCAAGGCTAAAATAGAAAGCTCGATACAGTAACGTGAATGTTGATACAATAGGATCGGTATGCTAAATCACTGAGGCAGCAAATATAATTACAATTGATACAAAGTTTACGCAAATCTAGATTTATCGGATTTAAGTAAAACTACTCTGGGACTAATGATTGTAAATATATGAAAATCATATATATGCGCTGCGGTGAAGAAACGATTATAAAAGATCCTCGCAGCTATGAACATTACCGAGCTAGTAGCTGAAATAAGACCTGAAAAAACTTTTTTGGCCCATACGGTATTTGAACCCATGACCTCTGCGATACTGATGCAGCGCTCTACCAACTGAGCTAACAAGCCAACTGGGAGCTGATCAATGTGTTGGGTCCAAATAAACCATCCAAGTGATGAATAATGACTGTAGATAAGATATATATGATGAAAATCATATATACATGCACTGCGGTGAAAAAATGAATATAAGAGATCCTCGCAGCTATGAACACGACTGAGCTAGTAGTTGAAATAAAACCTGAAAAAACTCTAGGACTGTTAATGTGAACGAGAACATGATCAGTTTAGGAAGAATCCTTTATCTTATGGTGGAGGAGAGATGCTTTGTAACAGGAGCAGCGGCGAGGCTGAGCATGCATTAATAGGGATAGGAAAGCCGCGAGAGATCTTATTCAGTTGCTAGAACACTTCAACAACCCTGAAGCGGCAATAAACAAATTTTCCACATGATTACAAGAACATGTTATTTACATTATTACATTCTGTCCTTTCTACTAAAAACATTTCCAGAGTGAGTCCAAACAAAGCCAATGAAGTCGAAAAGATAATCTCACAAACGTTTGCCATATTTTCTCTAAGGCCGAGAATGACTTAGAAACGATTGACCTATCAAATCTATCAAGGAGAAACTTTTAAATACCTGAAAATGCGTTAAAACATGTATCACAATTAGTCAATGACCCATAACTATTGGTTTGGCGGCGTTCTTTTGTAATCGTCTAAAAAAAGAAAAATTTACAGTTATGCACGCAGTCGTATATCTGTTGTATGGATCGCGTCCTGAAATCAGTAGGTTCGAGGAAATTGTCAAAAATTAAGAAAGCTTTACATCTACTCCGTAAAAATTTAGCCTTCCGTCAACCGCTCCTGCTAAGAATCGTCCTCTTGCTCAAAGATAATTGGAACTAAGGCTCAGTGTAAAAAAACCTCCTGCAAAGCGAGGTTCGCTCAATTTTCCCCATAAAATTTGATAACCAACAAAGGTAGTAAAACCGGAAAATAATGCGGGTATCAGCGGCCATCCCGAGGAGTCGACCCCCGGGCACACAGGGGCATTTGTCACAGCTGCCGTGACAAATACATACCAAAGCCTCTCGGGTAGGGCAAAAAGTTGGGACAAATACCCCCACCCCTGGAGCAACCTGGGCAACATATAGTCGGTGTTGCCTGTTCCTCGATGCAAAAGTACGAGTGATCATGGTTTACTGAAGCCACATCAGCACTAAAATCCACACAAGTCTCTATGGAGTCCTCAAATTCGAGCTTTCTGGGGCAAACTCTCTTGGCTTGCGGTTGTTCATCACACTGTCTCTTCCTATCGGCAAGACGCTTCGAATGCGAACTAACCGTATGAAATTGAAATCTCGATGTCGCTTTCCTTAAAATGCAATGAACAGATTCTTGGATCGCCGAGTGTCTTGGATTTTTTATCCGCTCGCTTACAGAAAACCTCCCACTTCTTACGCTCATTGGGCCTTGTAGGAAAGCAAAAATAACTGAGATCAGGTCGTTTCTTACTCCCATTACGGCACAGAGCAACAGCACAATACTTGACCATGGTACACAGGAAAATAAACTGCAAAGGACAAATAAAAGACGCCAAGATTTCCCGATTTGTCAAACGCACATAGCTTTCCTTGCAGTGTTTGTTTTTATTATTCGCGCCGTAGTCCCCGGAGCCTCGCTTTGGTGTCAAAGTTTCGCCACCAGTCTCTCACGCTGAAAGATATCGAAATTGGGCTATTTCTGCGACGTTGACGTTATTTTCCCCCGAAATCATTGACACGCTTCAGACATTTTTGACACAGCCAAACATTTAATTTTATTTGCTCACTTATTTTCACATCAATCTTTCACCTGTATGGTAGATCGCTTTACTGTATTTTTCCCAAATTCTCTTTGTTTTCCGTCAGAATAATAGTTCTCAACATCAGCCTAGAGTTTAAATAAGCCGTTTTGGTGTAGCTGACTTTAATTTCCTTTATTTAGAAAATTTCCCCCTTCTTTCGCGTTAATTTCCATTATTTGGAAGCAAATTTACCTTCAAATCGTGTTGATTACGTGCAAATCCCGTGGGTATGGCCCCGGAGTATTTTGCCAAAAACGCAAAAGCGCTTTAATGCCCCGCGTGCGGGGCATGCCTTTGCTACAAATCCCCTGCTAAGCCCGTGGGTTGCCCTTGGGTTGCCCGGGGGTCGACCCCTCGGGATGGCCGCTGATACCCGCATAAACGAGAGGTAGTCCCTATGTTTCTTGTTTGCATTTGATTGCATTTTAATTTTGCTCTGTATTTATCGCTGTTGGTTATTTTCCCATAAGAAAATAGTGAAGCATCGTCGTATAGAAATCCCACAGTTTTCTTTTATGATAAACCAATTTTTTGTTTTATGTTTCTCTCCAGAGTTCCGATGCTATTTACAATTTTCGCCTCAAAACACCCTTTGCATCTTTGTTAACATGATTGAT